TGTCTGTCTGTCTGTCTGTCTGTCTGTCTGTCTGTCTTTCTCTCTCTCTCTCTCTCTCTCTCTCTCTCTCTCTCTCTCTCTCTCTCTCTCTCTCTCCCTCTCCCTCTCTCTCTTTCTGCGTATACAGTGGTGTCCAAAAGAAAAATGTTTTCACCCATAGTGTAAAGCCTTGCACTACCCACTCATGCAGTAGCCTATAACAATTTAAAAGTTAAATAAATCATGCGCCTTCTGAAGCATTAATATTTCATCTACGATAAATAAGAGTCGCTTGAGATATGATCACTCAAAATTAACCCTAAAAAATCAGACTTGGAAAAAGAAACTTTGAAATGTGTTGTTGTTTGTTTCTACAGCCGGTGGCGCGTTATTTTGCCTGGTGAACGTGACTGTAGGGTCAGAGACGTACGTTACTCTCTACAACAACGACACAACAGTGGATGGTACCACAACCTACAGGACAACCTGCCTGGTACGTTGGTGCTTGTGGGAACGGCAGTGTGCACTTTGTAAGACTGTCCAGTTGGGTTGATTGATTGATTGTTTGATTGCTTGCTTGCTTGCTTGCTTGCTTGCTTGCTTGACTGAATGATTGCAAGTATATAAATGTTTCAATCTCCCAACCCCAATCAACAGCAAGAACAGACACAAAAACTAGAACAACAACAACACCATTACCACCACCACCACTACCATTATCACCACCACCAACAACAACAACAACAGCAGCAACCGCAACACCAAGAAACCACCCCTCCTCAAATCAAATCAAAACTAAATAAGCGAAACAAATCTATCATTTGGGAAGCTGGTTGCTTCGACACTGCCTGTCAGTGTCACTCTGGCCTGGGTAGGGTACAGATTCCCAACACAGGAACGGAGGTATTCTATAAAAGAGCACAAAAAAACCCCAAACAAACAAACAGTTTGAGTAAGAGTTTTACGGCACTTGCAACACAATAAGGTCATGTAAGTGCCAAAGATTAGAGGTGTTACAAGAGAGTAACATACTCAAAATAGAAGGAGGGGAGAAAAGGACAATAGATGTTTGATAGGAAAAAAGGAGCAAACCACACCAGAGCACCCGCCAACCACCCGCCCGACAAACAAATAAACAAAAACAAACAAACAAACAAAAATCTCCCTTATTCGTAAATCAAAGACTCACCGTCGGCGTGCAATGGGAAGGATCCAAACACATACTCCATAGAATATACTGGTCCAGTCGGAGTAGGAAGACAGGCCGGCCACACCACATTCTTGTGAAACATGATTTCAGATTTAAAATTGAAAAGACGATTTTCAGAAAATAATTTTTTGTTGTTTAACTCATTCATTGAATCCCGTCTTTGTTTTGTTTTGTTTTGTTTTGTTTTGTTTTAAGTAAGCGTTTTGCAGCCCTAACAAAACAGTCAGGTCATAATGTAAGTGTCAAAGATTAGAAGTGACACCAGAGAGTAACAAACATTAAAAGGGAGAAGAGATAAGGACGATGGATGTTTGATAGGAAGGAGAAGGAGAAAGCCATACCAGGGCACCCGCCAACCTCCCACTTCAAATAATTTAAAGGCATTAGTTCATTCGCCAAAAATCGAAACACACAATTACTTAATAAGGTTGGTTTGCAAGTATGTTTGCTAGGCAGTTAGGTTAGGTAGAAGGGTAGGTAGGTAGGTAGACAAATGAAAGGCATACAAGTAGAACCTTGAATAAAATTTTCAAATTATTTCGCTTACTCCTTTCCTGAAAAACAAATCACCCTCGCCCAACC